GCTTTATTTGAGTCAAATGTGTGATTGTTATCTACAAGTGATGCCTTGAGTGTCATTTATTTATTATGACTCTGAAAAAATTATCCATGTGATGGTTCAACAACATCACTACATGAGTTATTACTTCTTTTGATAAAGTTAAGTGGATGTTCGTAACCCATTTTGTTGAAGCCCATAAGTCGTAGAAGAACTCTCAGACGTTTCTAAAGATCAAACTGAAGCATTCAGAGATCCTTATAAATTTCATTATCAGATTTATGCAAGATGCTTGATGTAAGGGATCTTGAGCATGTAGTTGCTTATGCAGCGTTTCCTCAAGGCCTATGCGAGGGCTCATTAAGAGACACTCTTGATCTTCAAAATCATAAATATTCAGATGAACTTCTTGAGTTAGTCAACGTTATCATTTGAATAATATTTTCCTTACCGAGCTCCTACAAAACTCAAGGGCTGAAGGGAGGATTTAGAAGAAAACATCCCAGAGATCACAAGTAGTGAAGAGATCAATTTTCCCAAAGAGATTCCTGAAACCTCCTTAGAAGGAAAATTTTTCAGTCAAAGTCAGGATTCCTTGACTAGAAGATGATTGAGAGGAGGATGGAAAGAAAATAGGAACCACCCCAATTCATTATGTTAGAAATTACTCCACCTGACAATATCCTTAAAGCCCATTCAAAATAAAGATTTCTTCATAAAACCTAGCCAATGCTAGCGATAAGTCTCCTAAGTGATCCAAACACATATCGTGCAAATCATAGGATCATGGGTACAATACAAAGAAGTTATTGACATCTTAGGAGTCTGATTAAAGAGCTGGTCTGAGTAGTTGTTTGATACACCAAAATAATATGTTGTTTTAAGTATATATTTTATGCTTATTTTTTTGTGATATTACACTTTAAAAAAGGGTATTTTTATATTTTTGTTGCAGATATATCAATTTTAGGCATTTTGAGCAAAATTAGCAAAAATGACGAGATTTGGAGCCAAAATGGTGAATTTTTTAATTCTGACGCAATATGCGCCAGATTGGTGCATGATGCTCCATATTGGCATCAGATGCACCAAAACCCATAACAACGCGATGTCCAACAAACTGGCGCATGAAGCTTCAGATTGGAGCTAGAGGCGTCAGAAATGACTTTTTGCTGATTAATGCGGTTCAAGACAAATTTGCATGAATTTTCAAAGGGACACTTGTTCTAAACACCCATTGGAGTAATTCAATGCATCTAGACACTTTGAAAGGTTTCTTATGAAGGGATATGTCTCTTGGATCAATGAACATGTCATTTGAATTTAAAATAGTTGACTTTTGGATAGAATTTTGGAGGGAATTTTGAATTCTTTTTGGAGGGAGGCAGCCTTTGATAAAAGAGAGCGAAGTCTAGTGCTTGAGAGGGAGTTGGAGTGGCGTGAAGTGGCTTCAATGAGAGTTAGAGATAGAGAGAGAGAGAAAGTCAAGAGCTTGGAGATTTTCTTCAAGGATAGTAAGAGGAGAGGGAAGATAAGAGAATTTTTTTTTATTACACTTCTAAGAGAGAATTAAGAATACTTGTAAAGAGAGAAAGACTTAGAAAGACTTAGAGAGAACTTCTAGATTTGCTTAGGAAGGATTGTGAGATAAGTTGTGTCTTTTATTTCTTTTATTTTGTAAACTTGTTTTTATATATGAAATCTGTACTTTGTCGTATCCTTCTCATGAATTCTGAGTAGTCTTCTTTATCCTTCTCCCTACTTTGAGATATGGTTTTGTGAAGAATTGATTTTGTTTTATATGATTTTTAATGTCAATAATTTATGATAATTTGAAATCTGATTTTCATTTACTTTTCGATCTAGTCAATTGAATTGTTAAAATGTGTTGAGAAACATATGTTCTAAAAGAGTTATGATTTCTACAACAATGAAAAAATCACATTTGATTTCAGGGGAGATAATTTATCCATAGAGTTGGGTGCAAATAAATAGGGAAATATACTTTGTTGGATGCAAAATTGGAGATTTTAAGGTGATAGATTAAAATCCCCAATTTGATCCAGATGATTGAAAACTGATGTGAGATTATTAGCCCTCAAGTAAAGGAGTAGTGAGAGCTATGGAGTGGCAATCGGTATCCTCCCAGCCTAATCACGGAATTAGCGACCAAGTTTTATATTAGTCAATGTTTTTTTATGCACTCGAAAGAGGGTAAAGAATATGATTTCTCCTAGTTGGCACAAAATAATTTTTATAAATATTTTCAAATGATTTTTAATATTTGTACATTCCATATATTCATTGTAAAGGGGAATTATGTTTTCTTAAATTTGAACTTTTCTTCACAAAAACTTATTTTAATTTTCGTAAGTTTGCTTTTGAAAGTTTAGCATTTAGTTTAGTTAACTTTGTCTTTCAACTGTATTTTAATTAGCATTCACTTGTTACTTAATATTCAAACTTAGTACTTTACTTTTTGTAGTTTTAAAACTTATACTTTACATTATAATCTTAAGAACTTATTTATAGGCATTTCCAATTTCCCTGTGGGATTGATATCTAGGACTTCATTAGAGCCTTTTATTACTTGAGTAATATGTATGCTTGCGTTATTTTTAAAGGGGATTTGACAGTGAAGATTTTTAAAAGATAAAACTATTTTAACTGATGTTATTTTGTTGAGATTAATTTGCATATATGATATTATTTCTGTCGTGTGTATTTTGAAATATTGAAAAATATTTACAAAATTAACACACTAAATCCATCAGCATCAAGTTTTTGGCGCCATTGACAGAAAAGTAACGAAAAATATTAGTAAATTATTTTATAATTTATAGTATTTTTATTTTTAAAACTAAAAAAAACTAAAAAAGTGTTTGTAGTTTAGTTTGAATATTTTCTTATTTAAGTGTGTTTGCTTATATTAAATTACTTGTTGTGTTTGTTTATGCGTAAGTGTCAGATCTGAAAAATTTAGTACCTTACGATTTTAAGTTAGAAAGAACAATTAGAAAATTTTGAAGACAACAAAAAGATATAGACCATATTAGCAAAATAACTTGCAATTTAAGTAATAATGGAAATGAAAATGAACATTATCAGAGAACTTTAAGAGATTATGTTAATCCTACAATAGATGAAATTCATTTGAGTATACAAAACCCTGTTAGAGTTGTCAATTCATTTGAGTTTAAATCTGTTGTTATCTAAATGGTGCAAAACAACTAGTTTGGGGGAACACCAACTGAAGATCCTAATTTACACCTTGCTAGTTTTCTAAAATTGTGTGCTACTTTTTAAATATAGAGTGTCAAATGATGTCGTCAGACTTATACTTTTTTTCTTTTCACTAAGGGATAAAGCTAAGATGTGGTTCAACTCGTTAGCACTTGAATCTATCATAACTTGAGAAGATTTATCACAAAAAAAAGATTTATCACAAAATTAACACACTAAATCCTTCAAAAACTGCTAAACTTAGAAATGATATTACATATTTTTGTCAGTTTGAAGGGGAATCCATTTATCAAGCCTGAAAAAGATTTAAAGGTCTCATTATAAAGTGTTTACACCATGCGTTGTCAGATTGGTTAATAATTCAAATTTTTTATAATGGATTGGTTGGATATCTTAGATCTTAATTGGCGCTGTTGCTGGTGGATCGTTAATGTTAAAACCATTCGATGAAGCATATTTTTTAATTGAAGAGATGACTACTAATAATTTTCAATAGCCCTCTGAAAGGGTAAATCCAAAAAGAATAGTCAGTATTCATGATTCTGATGCAATTTCTATGTTAACTGCACAAATAGTTGTTATATCGAAGAAAATAGATCAATAGCCGGTATTCATTATAGTTATACAATATGTGTAATCATAGCTTTACTAAACTATTCAATTATAAAATAGTTTAGAATTTATGTATATAAATATTTTATGTATTATTAATATTAAGTTTAAATTTATATTATTATAACCAATATTAACTACACTAAAAAATTAATAACAAATATTAGCAGATTAATTATATCTATGACAATTTTGTCGTAAACAACATTATTGCACAGCGACAGAATAGACATTTATCCAGAAACAATAACAAATCAGCTTTCCAAAAGTACAAATCAAATAGATAACTAACTTATCAGAAACAATTTATCTAAATTAACTGTTTTACGAACGTATTATCAATAATATGTAGCTCTAAACAAACCATTAGTCCAACAACACATGCATAACAAAGCCAAATTCATGTAATATGAGTTATATGAAGTCAAAATTGCCTCGATATATTTTTCTAATATTTAAATAAAATCATATTCTATGTCTGTATCCTATCTTATCTTATCGAATGATGCTAATATACCGGCGTCGGAGTCCATGCGTGAACAAAAAGTACTCGTTTTTCGAAATGTCAGGCGGCCCTGTCATTGCTACGAAACCTGCTCTTTTTTTTTTTCCTTCCAGTGCAGAAGAATAGCTGCCATTGAAATTTGTACTTCTGCAAATTGTGCCCGAGTGATTGAAAAAAAAATTACATTTTTAAATATAAATATAAAAAAACTATATTAATTTTTTTTAGGGAACTAATTTATAATATCTTTATTTCATTTAAAATTTTATAAAAGGCAAAATGACATTCGTGCCCACCTTGTATATATATATATATATGTGTGTATGTATGTATATAAAGAATTAGCCAAAAAAATTAAGCAAAATTACGATCGCTATTGTTCCATTCTAAAATAGAATAATTCTTCGACATTTAGGAAGGGTTCAAATAAAATTAAATTAAAAAATAGTGGCTTGCGATTGATAAAATAAAATGGAGGTCGTCTTCAACCATTAAAAAAATCAATAAAATCAACGAACAAGCATTACTTATTTGTTGCCTTGTATGTTATTATTATTATCTAACGAACATAGCATAAAAATATAATATGATAGTCTATATAATTATCACAAAAGATAATATAAATGGACTTTAAAATTCACACATATAAATATAATTTTCGACCCTCTTTTTTTGTCACACCCACCATTTTATTCCCTTCATCGCCTTGCGCTGATCTCCTCCGATTAGCCTTGTCTCTTTCCTCACGCTCGATTGCTCTTTCATCACTTCATACACCTACTCTCTCTCTCTCTCTCTCTCTCTCTCTACTGTAAGGTCTCCTAAAAAGGTTACAAGAAGGTACCTAGAGGGGAAAGGAAGGTGACAGAGAGCTCGATCTGGTTGCAGCAAGATGAAGCATGGCCTGTTTCTTCTGTGAAAATTTAGATCTTTTTGACCCGCAGAAGGAAAAAAACCAAGACGAAGTAAAAAAACACTTCCTTTTTTCCTTCTATTTTGCTTCATTTCCTTTCATAAAAGAGCAATCTTGAAGATCACTCATTGATTTCATCTACTCATTTCTTTCTGTCTCTCTCTGCAGTAGCGGTTTCGCAGTAGCGAGAAGGAAAAAGATTGCCTGTTGAAGGAATCGAAGGAAGGAAGAGCGAATGATTCACCGTCCTACCAAGTAAATAAAGGAAGCATCTTTTCTTCTACTATCATCATTTCCTTTCATAAAAGAGCAATTTTGGAGATCACCCATTCATTTCATCCTCGTTCAACTCGCGACAACAAAAGAGGAAAAAAAATCTTCTTTTTTTTCTTCGCCGGAGAAGAAGAAGAAAGATGGCAACCAAATGGTGGGAGCGCGTTGATGTTCCGGGGATAACTGGGATTGAATCCACAGGTGGAACCAGTGGCCCCGGAGGCGCTCACCACCACCTTCTCCGTTCATCTCAGCCGCCACCTACTCTAGATCTACAAAAACTATCTCCAGAACAGAGTCCCAAACACGAAACACCCGCCGCTGCACCTCCCAGCGAAGATCAGCTTCCGTTGAGCACCGGAAGCACGAAGCGGCCACGCGGCCGGCCACCGGGGTCAAAGAACAAGGAAAAGCCGCCGATCATCGTCACACGCGACAGCCCGAACGCGCTGCGTTCTCACGTGCTAGAGATCGCTGGCGGGGCTGACGTGGCGGAGAGTTTAGCTGACTACGCTCGGCGGCGCGGAAGGGGAATCTGCGTTTTGAGCGGTGGTGGAGCGGTGGTCAACGTGGCTCTCCGGCAGCCGGGTGGGGCTCCGGCGGCGGTTTTAAGGGGAAGGTTTGAGATATTGTCGTTAACAGGGACAGTGTTACCTCCGCCTGCTCCACCGGGATCTGGGGGGCTGACCGTGTTTTTAGCCGGCGGGCAGGGGCAGGTAGTGGGAGGCAGTGTGGTGGGGCCCTTGATGGCGGTGGGACCGGTGGTTTTGATGGTGGCTTCGTTTTCTAATGCTGTGTATGAAAGGTTACCGTTAGAAGCAGAGGACGAGGCGGCGCCGCCGCCGCCTGCGGCGACATCGCCGTCGTCGGGGGGGACGAGCGGGGAAGGGCGTCGGGAGTGACGAGCGGTGAAGGTGGAGGAGGCGGAGGGGTTCCTTTTTATAATTTGGGGAGTTATCAGATTGGAGGAGGAGAGGGGTATATGTGGGGCGGAGAGGGAAGCGGTGGAGCAAGACCTCCATTTTGATTAATTTACTTTCTACTTTTCATTTCATCATCTTCTTCTTCTTCTTCTTCTTCTGGTTCTTCGTACAATCATATGTGATCTTCAAAGTAAGGTTCTGCTTCAAGATTAAAATGGTTTATTCGGATTAGAACATTTGTGGAACCGGAGAGGCCTAGCTTTTTGTTTCAAGTTTGTCGTAAATCCATTTTCGGCTATATATTATACTGATCATCTTATATAATTTTTGTCCTTTTTGCTTGGTGAAGATTACATGATTTGTGGATGTATTGATTGTTATGTCTTGTAATTCGATATAAATGTCTTCATACGAAGAAAAATATTGTATATTTTGAACTGTATTTAGTTTAGGATATTATAATATAAGTTCAGTTTTCTTCATATATTTTCTTTGCTTTTGAACAAAAGAAGGATTGTCTAAAATTAAGTGACATGATTCTGGTTATGGTTGAAGAAGGAAGAAGCTGATGAGTGCAGGTGCAGTCCATGCATGAAGAATGAAATGGTACGAGAGAGAATTCAAAGGTGAGAGTTCATGTTTATGATTATTCAAAATTCATTCATTGCTGGTAGTTTTATTATGATGGGCAGTTCTGATTAAGGCAAAGATGAGAGTTAAGATTGGTTTTGCTTTTTAATTGTTTGTTGTTTGTTGAGTTATATTTTTGTCTTCTTAATCTTTATGATTCAGTGCAGTAAATATTTTATAAAGTTAAATTTGTTGAGGTTGGTTATGATGATAAAATGCATCAATAAACCAAATAGGTGTCTTGGTTTTTTTTTCCAATTGATTTTCTATTAAGCTTGCATAAAAGTGCATGTGCCAATTAATGAGTGATCATATTATTTTTAAATTGATTTCTAAGCCATAATGTCTTTTTTTTTTCTTACCCAAAATAAATTTAAGAAAGATTCACATACATACCGCTTAATTCTTATGCATTTACTATTTAAACACCTTAAACTTAATTAATTAATTAATTATTAATTAATTTATTTATTTAATTATAGATATATTATATATATATATATATATATATGAATATTTGGGTGGTATAAATTTTAAAGTTTTTAGTTGTTGGATATGTAAACACATAAGTATTGGCTGCTATGAATGTTGACAGTCTTAGAACTTACTGCTTTTTTCATATATATATATATATATATATATATATATATATAATTTGCTTGAATTGAAGTACATAGAACCCAGAATGAAGTGCTTCATTTCTTACTTTTTGGCAGTAAACTCAAAAGAGCCTGTCTGCTGCTTTTGCCATACTAGAATTAAAACCCAGCACCAGTTTTTTTTTTTGGGAAGAATATTGACCCGGGGAATCTTTGCAAAAATCTATTCCAGACATATATTGCACTCATTCAATGTATGAAGTCTTATTTTTATTTTAATATTATTCGAATAATTTATGGGTATTCATTATATGACTTCAAATTTATAACATTGTGATGTGAGCAAAAAAAATGTCATCATTAATGGTACTAGTAAAGCTTTATAAACTTTTTATAGTACTATGGTATCTAATATGAAATTTATAACATTTTTATTTTATTATCATCAAGAGTACTATTAGGATTAGTTATGAGAAAGTTTTAAATAATATTAAAAAAAACAAATTTTTTATATTAAATTAAAAATATCATTAAAATTTGGGTGTTAGTCATGTAGAAAAATAGTAGGTATGATGTGTGATGACAATAATACATGATATCGAATGATTATGTTGCGATGAATAGAGCTTCTTTGTAAACTAGTGTAAGAAGGTTGTCACTAAGTGAGAGCTAACAGAAGGTGTTATTGAGAGCAAGATGCATATTTAGGCTTTAGTTTGATAAAGGTAGAAGGCAGACAACTTCACGCTTGTTTTCTTATGTGATGAGGCAAGAATAATATTCTCACTCATGGGGTTAAAGAACTCATTCATCAATGACTTGGAAAAAAATGTTTTTTTTTTTTTTCGTGTCGTGATGATAGTGGCGGAATCAGCGGAATCATTCTATTTGATGAAAGTTCAATGAATGATTCGAGTGATTATTGTTGAGACATTTATTATTTTTGGCTATATATAGTGAAAAATGAGGGATGTGGGGTTTTTATGAAGGGATGAGATTTCCCTAAAGTGGAATTTTAGGCTAATGAACTTTTGATTCAAAGTTGTGCTTGATGAGGGCGAGTTCAAGTGAGATCGCATTGTTGGAAGAGTCGTCCGTGAGTCTCATAAAGGAAAAAGAATTTCTCATACTATGATTTTTCTATGCAAAGCAAATGGTCCTTTTGAGATTGTCCTGAGGTCCCTTCATAAGCATATTGATTTGGTTATTGAGATGAGATAATCAATAACTAGATCAAGAAGAATCTGGTTTATCTATTTTTAAGAATTTAAATATGGTGTTCTACTGTAATTATAATAAGCATTCTGCTTGTTTGTCATATTTGATGTAAGTTAGTAATAATGATGCAATAGGTCAGCGGTTGTTTCATACAAATGATGGTAGTTAATGTGCACAATAAAAACATTGAACTTAAAAAATAATATTTATATTTTAATTCCTAGTGAGGTTTAATGCATGCTTGCATAAAAAGAAATTTGTTTCACACAAAATTAAAAGTGGGATAAACAATGAAGTTTCTAAACATATCAAATAATCTCCAATTAAAATTACAAATGTTAGTATTTTCATATGATAAAAAAAAGATTAGAATACAATGTAATAATATTGACTATTGAATATTCTTATGAGGAGTTGACAATGATGAAAAAGATGTGTTAGTTAATGATGCAACCAAAGTGCAACAATTAGCATAGAGCTTGGAATGTTGATAGACAGTGAGTGGTTGGGAAATGAAAAGCCTTAACAAACGAGCAAAGTCGGTGAAGTGATGATGGTTGGCTTTATAAGTTGGTTGTTTGTTAAAAACGATCTAATATCACCAATTGCTCGAAAATAAGTCTTTCATAGGGTTTGCAAAATGTCAAGATGATTTGATATTCATATATTTCCTATTAAAATGCTTGTGAAGTGCTGGCTAGCATTTTATGTAGCATTGAATGCAGATTCAAACTTATTGAGATTCCAGAAGAGGAGGGAAAATTTGGATCAATATTTAAATTTGCTTGAATTTATGTGTTTTTTAATCTCGTTGGGTTCATCTTATCAAAACTCATGGTTTCAATTAGTCCATTATTGAATATTTTAAAAAACTTCTTAAATTAATTTCAATGACTTTGAATTCAATTTTGAGTTTTTTTTTTCAAAAATAAAAAGTGAATATTTATATTTAATTGAATTAGCCTTACCACTCATATCAATAATGTATATGGAAAAAGTGCCAACATGAATCTCAAGGAGATTTGACACATAAATAGGGCAAGACATGCTAAAGGAGGGCGCACCGATAAAAGACTCGGAAACCCAATTGTCAAATCAAAAGCTAGATCAAGATTAACCAAGGCAATCAGGCTGCTCAAACATGAGCGATTCGACCAGAAAAGAAGTTTAGGGGAATGCAAATCATTCGCCACGATAAAACCAACCAAAGGAAAAAAAACTAACCCGTTGGGACCTACAATTCTATCGAAGGAATCCAATATCTTCCCTGAACATATGAAGAATCAGTGAGACGAGTCTCAGCCTTTCATCAAGACCACTTCATCTATGAGTGACAACCTATTGGATTACAATAATTTACCATCTGCCCAATAACACAGCTCTGCTCTGTCAATGGGAGCTCTTTATCTGGGATCGAGGATTGGTAACAAAATTTGAACAACAGATCGGCTCAACTTAGTCGACCATGTGAATCTCATTGACCCCTTGTCAGTAAAAGATTAACCAACCGATAGCTTCAAGCTTAGCAGACCGACAGTCTTTCCTGTACCATGTCTACCAGCGAGCATCTCTAGCTTAGTCGGCTGGCAGCACAAATCAAGGGTTTGCCAGCCTAGCCAGGTGATCCTTAGAGCTTACAGTCTTTGGGCCCACATATGTAAAATACCCATACTACCCCTGTTGAATCCAAAAAATATCATTCGGGTCACATCCAAGGGATAGAGCATTGGTCAAATGAGAGAACTGAGGGAAAACAGAAAGGAAGAGTGAGAGAGAATAAGAGTAAACAATAAATAGTACTAATTTTCTTTGAATAGATTTTGTAATCCTTTCTGAAGAAATGATGTCCCTATTTATAAGTTATAAGGAATACCTAGTAAATTGCATGTCTGCCCTCATTTAATCTGAACATTACATGTGATTTATGAGTAATTACATATTTATGTGGATGTAGCCGGTTATAATATCTTTTAACCACGACAATCGCTGTTGGATTCATTTCATGTTTGTAATAATTACTGGCACTATTTCATATTTGTAACTATTCGACTTGGTCGCTTCGTCATCACTCCGTTGGCAGGAAATCCTTCGATTAGATTCCACGAGGGAACCATTCGGAGAGATCCTTTATCCTTAGGAATGGTTTATTCCATCAGGAAGATGGGCATTAAATTAATCTGATGTGCAGCCTTACTTCATACGAGATATCTTCATAGAAAGTCGAAAGGGAGTATTGTTGAGCGGCCGTTGATTTGTCGTAGGCTCAAGTATGGAGGAGTACCTTCACTCGGGTTTACTCTCATTCCATCGGCCCATAATCCAATCGATCGAAATGATGCTTGATGACTCAATCTTTCAACAGTGATGATGCATTCTTTTGATATCTTCTTTACATAATTCATTAGATCTTCTCAAGATTTGTGTCCTCAAATTTTCGACATACAACGCCGTATAGTACTCACTAAAACGATGGAATAAATATAACTTCAAATATCATACCTCCTTCAATTATAAATAGGAGATCATTCTATGAATAAACAATTACACATCTCTAAAATTAATGTTCATGCATTTCTCCTTCTCTCTCTCATGTCTTATACTCTATTTCTTGAGTGTGATTGACAGACAAAGCAGAATTCAACAAACAATAATCAAAATACTATTATAAAAATATAACAACAAAAAGAATACTTCGAGATAAGGAAAAGATGTTTTAAATTACTTCAATGAAAAAAGAATTTGTGACAATACTAAAACGGTGCTGGGTTTTGCGTCCAGCTCTATAAAATTCTTATTTGCAGTCATGCTAAAAATAATATGGGGCGATATAATAATCCTTAACCATCTTTTCTTTAAAATATATAAATATAAGGTTTGTCAGCTCCAACAATGTCGACAAAGCCACTGCGGGGTGCGCAGCAGCAGCCAAAACTTTTAAACAATTTCCA